TGTTGAGCCCAGGAGAGGTTGATCGGTTTTAATTTCGCCAGGTGATGTCGTCATGATGGAACCACACTTAAGTTATGGAACCCACAAAGTCGCCAGGCTGTTTTCAACATGTAGCATCCCAACATTTTATTTAATATGAATGAGGCGACTTGAACTTATCAAAAAACAAAACAAATCCCAAGAAATGTCAGCCCTGGATCGATCCCTGCTTCAAACGCTATGATTTTCGATTGATCTAGGCAAATTATAATGATTCACTAGCCTGAAAAAATAGCTACAATGTGCCCCCCCGTTATAAGTTGGTTTAAGCCCCAGTAACTATAGTTATAAGTACCATAAACCATAGTTATTGGAATTATAAAACAACGTAGCTATCTTGGGGGCCTCACATTGTATGTATGTTGGATGATATTGGGATCTTTCCCCGAATCCTGACTATGATTCCAGGGTTCGGTAACAGGTCACTTTAGTTTACCCAGGTTCTATACCTATCTATGTTTGGTGTTGAAAAAAAACTTGCGTCGAGTGATCCCCATCAACTGATATTCGATCTGATGCATATTTTGACATTATATCTGGCATCTTATTTGACAAATATACATATATTCTGACATTCTATCTGGCATTCATTCTGGCATAAATATGTGTTTTTTCTCTGACATTCCATCTGGCATTCTGTTTGGCAATTTATCTGATATATTTCTGGCATTCCATCTGACATTCTATCTAGCATTCGTTGTGGCGTTCCTAACATCTAGCCCTCGCGGGTAAGGTCCGGAGTCCACTGAGTGGTGCTGGACGAGGAGAGGAAGACGCGATGCACCTCTAGAGACCCTCACCTGCCAGGAGAATTAGGAAATCTCAAGAAATTCTGATGGGAAACCCTAGATTCAATGGATTGGTTTAAGGGAAAAAATTACAAAAAAAAAAGTATTTAATGTGCAAAACCATGGTTTCCGGTGAAGAACAAAACCCATTGATGGATTGTTCCATATTTTGTCCTACTTCAAAACGCCATAGAAATCGGAATTTCCCGAGCCCGCCGAGCAACGGAGAGGATTCGGGGCTATGCATCTTCTTCATCACAGTGCTCGAGCGTGATTCCTCCGTGTCACCGCAGGGTGAGGCCCGGTTTTTTTTTGTGAAATTCGTGAACGTTGGGGCCCTGATTCACCACATGAAAACGATGGGAATTCCTGGAATATAGGCCAAACATATGGTAGGTACCTCCAATAATTCGGATCCTGGGTCATGGCCATTGACATGAAAACTATAGTTATAAGATGTTAGAAGTATCATTTTTACCATACTGATATTGGATTTGTAGGAGTTATGTTCACCAACTTAGCTATCGTTCGGGGGCTCACTTCGTTTGTATGTACTGTGTATATATGTATATTTATGTACTGTATATATATAGTTGTGGCCCTATAGCCAGTTCTGGCCATGGGATGAAATAACTCCTATAACTAGTTGGTTATATATCATGAAACAAGCCAGTTATATATATATATAAAACATTATAAAACTGTTGATTGTTAAAGGGCTAAAACTGTAGACACTCCATTGAAGGGCACAAACATGGATTAATAAAAACGATAGTTTATCCTACAAGTTTAATATGGTTTGGCCATATTTCATCATTTGAAGGGTGAATTGAGTCACGGTAAATTGATATGCTCTTTGCAACTTTCCTTAGTAAGGTATGTATGGCGCTGTTTTTGACATTTTTGGAGAACACTGTTGTCAAACATCAACAATACTTGACCGAATATTACAAACACCAATAAGTCCATTGTCGTCAAAGCCCTGTGTCGCACAGGTCTATCTATTGTGTATACACAGATGTATGATTTCTTGGGTGGCTGTCCAAATCCAACTCTCAGATGATGGCCGATCGAATGTAGGCGGGGCTGTAAACTGCTGTAGCCTCCTATAGTATCCAGTTGTAAAATGATTGATTCTGTATTTAAAAAACTAACATTCTGTATATATCCTGGATATATCCCTAACATTCTGGAAAAAACATCCATGTTTCATCCCAGAACTTGATCGCAAAGCGCAACCGGCCGTGGAGGATTTCCAACAAGTCATGTTTGATTACCAAATGGGATACGGCCACCCAAGCCCCATGTTTTCCCCAAACAAAAACTACCCATCAACTTCTGGTCACTTCAGCCATGAGGTTGCTACTCTAAACTCTCTAGAAAGTATCAATACCATCTGGTTATTTAAGATAGCGAACTGGAAAATCCATTATAAATGGAGGTTTAGTTCGCTGGGAAAATCATCTGTAAATGGGCCATCTATACCATAGTTCCATAGCTATGGTAAATCACCAGGTATATCCAAACAAAATGCGGGTTTCTCTGAAAACGGAGGGGCAATCCGCCAAGCCGATTTTTCAGATCAATCCACCGGAATCGGGATTCTAACCGATGTCATACAGAGTGCCCCCAGTTGGTTATAGTTGGTTTATAAGCCCCATTATCTACAAATATAGACTATATAATCTATATTAAGACATATCATATGATAGTATATCGGATATATATATATATTATATATATCTACAAACCATGGAAGATCATTGAATTCATCGGCAAAGTTGCATCAACTTAGCATCGACTTCGCCGTGCCGTCGGGGGGGGCCAACTTGTTTTACCCTGCCATCTCTGTGTCCGCCTGGGAAACCGTTGCTTTCAGCAACTCTCAGGCCGGGTGAAACCGTTTCGTGAGCGATGACGCGCGTCTTAACCGTGTTAAACAAGCAACATCATCTGGTTGGTGGTTTGAACCCAAACGACTAAAGGGTTACACTACCCATCCAAGATTGACCTAGAAAAGAAAAGATATGCTGGTTGGTGGTTTTAACCATCTTGAAAAATATGAAAGTCAATGGCAAGGATTATCCATTCATATTATTATGGAAAATAAAAAATGTTTGAACCACCAACCAGAATCAGAACATCATCACAACAAAAAACACAGAGGTGTACGGTGTACCTTGACACTTCACTTTTACCATACTTTTCCCATATGTGTCTGAAATTGAAATGTACTAAAGTTTTTTTTCAGAATTTCAATGAACAAATCATAATCAAATCACTGAATTCTGGGTACACTATTTTCAGGCAAGCACATGGACTTAATAAAGTCAATACGATCAACGTTTATCAAATATGTGCTTTCTAGTTGCCCATAGTTGTCCCAACGTTTTTGTTTTTTCTGGCCCATATATTTTGAAAACAAGTTGTGTGATGATATTTGCATTCTGCCACCTCAGCACCGGGGCCAACACGGGTCAACCAGGGACGCCTTTCTTCACACCTAACATTGATCTACCCCCAAACAAAAGCTAAATTTGTTTATGACATGCTATATATCATGACTAGCTTGACTATGGTTCATGACTGATATAATGTTAGATGGAGGTTTCCTGAAATGGAGGTACCCTTAGATCCTCGATGCAATATTTTCGGATTTTCCATGAAATAAAACAACCATATCATTTGGGGGGTACCTTCCATGACTTGGGAACCATCCATATTGGGCAAACATGAACAATTGGTAAATCATGGAACAACATGAGTCATGTTCCATAGCTATGCTACATTACAAAAAGGTACTTGACAAAACACATGTCTTGTGTTTCACAACTGCACTCCTCCGTCTTGTGAAAAAAAGGCGCGTCTTGCTCACGACTGGGCATCGCTGGATGCGGTCATGTTCGGTCACCAAGTGGCCAAAATTCTTCTGGTTGCAAAGGGATGAAGGACACCCTCTGGTAAACCAACATAACTATGGAAAATCACAATTTTTAATGGGAAAATCTACTATAAATGGGCCATGTTCAATAGCTTTTTGATGCTTTTTGTATGTTTACCAGAGGGTAAGTGGAAGGAATCAATTCCCTTTGACTACCCTCCTGGTAATCAAACATAGCAACCGGAAATCCACAAAAAACGGAGGCTTCTAGATGGAAAAAGACAACTAAATTGGGGATTTTCCAGCAAACCATATTTGATTACCGGAGGGTACAGTACAACCAAACAACATGTGTTTCTGGATGGTTAGTTTGGTGGAAAAAACAAAAAACAGGTAAAGGACAGCGTTGCTGTAAAAGTCTGAAACTTCAGAAGTATCCTGCAGATGTTCCCTTCACGTCAGGGAGTGGATATTTTTTGGGATGATCCCCCCTGATGTAAAACCAATAGTAAAATGTGTTTTTCTACACCGGATGTTGTCATATGAGACCCACATGTTTTCTTTGACCGGAATGGGTGTTGGTATTTGGGTTTACCAACATTATATATATATATATATACATTGGTTCAATAAATATCTAAATGTTTGATTACCAAAGGAAACTATCCGTTATCCCATAAATTCATACATGTATAAAGGATTCTCAATGTTTCTCCTTTAGTTTCCCATTATTAGGGTTTGGAGAATCATCATAGCAATGTTCAACATCATTTTTGGGTTACAATATGTTACAAGGTTCTCCAATAGTTTTCCATTTACAAAGGATTCTCAGTTCATTGTACCATTAGGTAACCATCATAGGGTTGGGTCAGGGTTCCAGCGCATCCAGCTCTGCCCAGGCGCAAAAAGAGCCTGCTGGACATAGTGGGTGGTTACCCGGTATTGATATTATTGGGCTGTTGGGGTGCTTCCCTTGGGAATAAATATGATATAAACTGATTAAACCATGCAGTGCAAAATGAGGTATTGAGACGTATGGGGAGGTTCCCCAAATGGGGATACCCCAAAATGGATGGTTTATAATGGAAAACCCTTTGGAAATGGATGATATAGGGGTAGCACCATGGATTGATGGAAACCTTCATTAATATCATCACATATCCATTCTCCACCATATAAACTAAACATATATATAGATATATATATAAACATATATAAACAGAACATAAATCTCCAACCGTTAAATTTCACCGGGCCCCGGGGCAAGCTCACCGGGGCAGACTTTCCGTGACTCATTCCTGGTCTCTCAGTTCACGCAGCTGCTCCTGGACCAGGATGGCAGTCATTTTAAGGCGCCCCATAACCCATGGGATCCATGGTGCTGGTATGGTAACATGGATCCCATCAATATACCCCAAATGTTAGCATATATATATACCATACATGGATCCTATAGGTAAGTAGCTGGTTAACATCATGTTAATCCATCAAATTGCCAACTCAGTATGTGATAATGTGCAGCAGCTTTAGAGCGGTCTAGTGTGGAAATTGCCACGGGGATGTTAATCCTGGAAAAAACAGAAACGGGTTGTTTCATATGGAGAGTACTCAAATTGAAGTGATTTTCACCACTTGGGGAGTTACCCCCATAATTCATCAACGGGCCCATGCGTCCACAGCATGGAATTCCCCGATAAGTCCATAAATGGGCATTGGTTAATAGGAAACTCATCTAGGATTAGGTGATTTTCGCCATGTTATGCAATGTTTCATTGTCAGAGGCCATTGCCATGTTTCATTCTCATGTTTCAAATAAAATATAGGCAATCCAATGAAATATCACTACATTGTCATGTCAATGAGTGATCATATTGTCTGTCTTTGTGCATCAAATAGCCCGCTATAGATTCGGATAGGCCAGTGGAAAGTCCAGTGGAAAGTCCATGATGTCCATATGGGTTCCCAGGAAACATGATGTAAAACACATAGTGGTGTTCACAATCTATGCGTTTGTTTACTGGAGATGAAATTCGAATTGAATTTGATCATATTACATGGGTATCTTGGGTCGCCCCAAATTAGGGATGCTTCAGGACCAACAATTTCCATCAATTTCCATCATACCCCCATAGATCCACATGAAGTCCCACTAACCTGGCTGGAAGACCACCATGTGAACTTTGATGACTTTCTTCAAAATCCAAGAAAAACATGTTCCAGCCACGTGACTTACCCGAGGCTAAGTCCATCAATATCCATACGAAAAAAACCTAATTATCCCTATTACTGTAAACCATATTATACAATCATACAATGTGGGCCCCCCAGTTATAAGTTGGTTTTGGTTTACCCATAAGTATAATTAATAAACATCATAAACCATAGAAACCATATCTATCGGGGTAAGTCACCATTTCCGTTAAAAAGAAACTGATGACATCACCTTCCAAAAACAAAACCGACTGGCGTCCTTTCGAACCTCCATGCGCCGCACATGGCCTGGACAAAAGTTGCGTCGACATTCGTGCCATTGGGGGATGTTATCTGGTAAACATTTACACAGGGCACTGAAAAAAGTCACCTGTCAGAACGGTAAATCACAATAAATCAACATAAATCAACTTTAATGTCAGGTAAATCAACATAGATCAACTAGAATTTGGTCAATTTTTCATACTGTAGCTTTCCTAGCAGGGCAAGTTCAAAATCCCCATTTCTGTCAGCATTTAACTCGCTTAAATTCACTGTTTCTAGCTATTTCCAGTCAATCTAAAACCATTAAAGGCATGAGGCAGCTCAAAAAACGTTAAAATCAGTGTGTTTGGGATTGGGGTCTGTACAGTAATTAAGCGTAAATACGCCGATGTGCCATTATGCCGATCGGCCCGTTTCACGCCGATACGCAGTTACGCTCCTTGCTGTGTTAAAGATGTGGCAGGGCTGGCATGCAATGTCAGGATAGTATAACTCGGCATGGGCATGTGTTTTAGCCACTGGAAACATTCAAAAACCAAAAAAAAACTTCAAAACCTTCCAACACCAATTTTTCCCATATATGGTGATTAACTATAGTTACCCTCTGGTAAATTAACAGTTCGACCCTGGCAGTCATCGGGGTTGGAAAACTAGTTTCCATTAAAAATAGGTTATTTTCAGGGTTTATGTTTATTTACCAGGGGGTAAGTATAATTAATAAACATCATAAACCATAGAAACCATATCTATATGGTGATTAACTATAGTTAACTATCATCATTAAACACGTTTTTTCACATGTTTTCACCTACGTTCCCGGCCAGTCCCCGTGCCTCGGTACCAGGAGGCCGCTTCGTTGGCCTCCTCAGAGGTCACCGAGGTGTGATCCAAGGCGCGAATCTGTGGCACCACGCCCAAGATGTAGGTGCCTCGGCGACTCGGCAAATGATGGTTAATAGTGGTTAATACTAGACTATATGGTTCATGATGATAGTTAATGATAGTTAATCATAGTTAATGATAGTAATACTAGACATTGCAGATATTATAGATATTATAGATATTATAGATTTTATAGATAGTCGAACTATATTATAAATAACTATGAGTTAATACTACTGGTTCATAGGAGTTAATGATGATAGTCAATGATGGCTAACAATAGTTAATGATAGTTAATGATAGAATGATATAATGATGGTTAATGATGGTTAATAATACTTACTCAACTAATAGTTAATATCATATGATAGTTAATGGTTAAATAACTGTTAATATGATTAATACTAGACTATATCTGGTTGGTATTCCCGATATATGGAAAATATTAGTCAGTTGGGTTATAGTTAATGGTTAATACTAGACTATATCTGGTTAATGACAGTTAATGATGGTTAATCATCATATATTATATAGTTTATCTAATTGATGGTTATAGTTAATGGTTAATAAAAGTTAATGATGATAGTTAATGATGATAGTTAATAAACAACTATATCTGGGTGGTGGTTGAGCCTACCCCTCTGAAAAAATATTAGTCAGTTGGGATGATTATTCCCAATATATGATGACTAATAGTCAATAGTTCTAGCTCCAAGTTACCCAAATTCAGAAAATTTACATATACCATGAATCCATCGTACTCCAGACCTGCCTCTTTGGACCCATTGTTTTCCCAACCTGTTTCCCTGTGTGTGACATGTTTCACACCTGTGAATTGACTGAGTTGCGGTGGGAAGACCTTTCAGCTCAATTTGGAAATTGTTTGGCACCATGTCAATGCCTTATGTTGCTCCTGAAATGCTATGGAGCCTGAATGAGCTAAAGCGTGCCCTGATAAGTGAGCTTCCCATTTTGAAGACTGAAGAAGGAGAGGGTTTCAAAATATTGTTTGACTTGTTTGTTGAATGGGCTGAAACCCTGTTAAATTACAACAACCAGCTTCCGCTCTGTTGAATTTGGGGAATTGTGGCCCCGGATCCTTCTCTCAGGGGATTTCCGGCCGCGCATACTCATGTGGCATCGCACTCGAGGGGTGTCATCGGAGTCCAGAGGACTCCATCGCACTCCACACACATACTCACAGATCATCGTACTCCACAAAGGGGATCGTATACCAGAAAAACCTTCCCAGACAGCAAAGAACTATATTGGAAGAAAAAAATGAACCTGAAGAGGTCCTTTTCTTTTCCCCCTTCGGAGATAAAAACCTCTGGAATATGATAATATGGAATATGGGGGAAATCTGGGTTTTTCCAGCGTTTTGAAGAGTCGCGCATACAATCGTATTCCATCAAATTTTGGTACTTTAGACCTGTGGAGGCTATGGAAATCCTCGGTTGTGGTGCTAGTCGTGCAGGATGGAGTGTGATGCTTTCTGGGTGTATGGAACGGAATTTGTGATCAAAAAAGATGTCAACATATGCTTGAGAATCCCACATGCAGGACTGGCAACGCATACCAGGGGGGGCATCGTACTCCAGGGTGGGCATCGTACTCCAGGGGTGGCATCCTACTCAATGTAACTGTATTAAGTGGAAATATGGTACCATGTGGGTTCGAGAAAGCACAGCGTAATCCAGACTTGGCCCAGTTTACGGATGCGGAAGCTGAACCGCCAGCCAAACGCATCAAAAAATAAGCT